AGAGCTCTGAAAAAAAAGTCTGCTTTCAAATACAGTGAAATCAAGTTTCATACTATAGCTATTTCTTTGCCTCTGCTTTCATTAGTATTATTTTCCCTCTGTCTCACATATTTTTAATTAGATTAAATAGCCAATGCTAAAATGCTTTAAAAGTTTCTCGTGTGTTTACCACATACCAAGAAACAGATTTTTTTTCCTTTTGTGTTTAATGGCATACTCTATATAAATACACAGTTCTAAGAGGGATATTAAATGGAATCTATACTGTTACGTATGAAAGCAATCACAGTCTAAACTAATGCCAAGGAGTAATTACAGCCTAATTTACTTGGCTTGTTTGGCATGTCATAAATGTTTTTACAATGGTTCTTAGCAGATCAAGAGTCAGAAAACAAATTTCTGCAAGTTGTGGAGAAAATACTACAGCCTGTTAAGGACTTCCTCAAACTAGTTCTATATTCTACCATCTGCAGTGCTCAGAAGACATTCCTCTGAGCTGTAAATAGTATTTGTCTGTTGGACAAAATTCTTTATCTAATACTTAAATTATATGTCAATATACACCGCAGTATATGAAAGTAGTTAAAAAATGCTGTTCTCCAAGGAGTTAACTTTTCCAACGTGAATACTAAAACAATTAGAGATTATACAGGATGCATTCGTTTCCTAGGGATTTAGCGTTAAACAAAGGACCAGTGCAAGCTCTGTGAAATGTTCTTCTGTGAAACAAAAACCTGTGTCACATAAAAAAAGGACAGTAACTTGTCCCTCTAATTGATGCTTATGAAGGACAAATTCAACATATGCTTACTTTTTGAGATGCAACTTGCTCAAGAAAGCAAGATATTTTTAAATCTGTGAGACTGAAAAGAATGTAAAGGAAAAGGATATTGCCAGCAGTCACACCATTTGATGAAGAAGAGCTACAGGTAATTTTGTTGCCATGGAACAAAGTGTGAATTGCACAGGACACAAGGAAGAAAGTTGAAGTGTATGCTGCAAACTTCTTCACTAATGTTTTTTTTCTGCAGACCTTAGACAATGGGGTTTCTTCTCATGATGCACTAGCCCTGGAGGCACTCTCAGGAGACATTAATAAGACAGTATTGTTGGGTACCACATACTGCTACACACAATGGCTGAGAGGATTTTCATTAAAGGCAGACACTGTCATCCTACTTTAATTTCATTAAAGGCAGACACTTTGCATAACTTGCGCAGAAAAGAAAGACCTTTCTTTTTGCACCATTTTCAGCCATTTTTCTTTGTCCCAGGGGACTTCTAACTAAACAGAAGAAATGGTTGGAAATGAGTGTGACAGCAAAATAGTAAGTGTACAGAGTATAAAAACAGAAGCTAAGAAGCTATCCAAAGATAAAAACTTGGCACACATGAATTTTGGCATAGAATTTCTTCTGTCCTGATAGTTCCTTATACCAATTCAAGCATGAATCAAATAACAGCAGTATTTATCAGCTGGTGACAACTGAAACCAATAGTTATGATGCATTGATTTTAACAAACATTTTCATTGCATAGCATACTGTGTCTCCAAACCTTACAGCTGGCAGGGACATTTTACAGGCATCTAATTTAAACAATTCTGGAAGAAATCTTCTTGGGACAATACACTTGTCAGTGATGTTGATATGTGTATATTTTGGCATAAAATAATTACTTTTTCTTTAAAATACAATAATTCCTACCAAAAAAAAAGTGATCTGTAAAATTATAATTTTTTTTGTGATCATTGGAGAATCTTTAGTAAGTTGATTGCTTCACTTTTGCACTTCATATTTATGTTAGATCAAGAAGAGTTCCCCTGTTTTTCCTCTTTATGATCCTAGAAATTTTATCAAGTGTTTTTAAGATTGTTACTTTGCCAAAGTGATGGCAAAACAATAAAAAGGGATGGATAAGTGTAAATTGCATTTTCTCCTTAAATTTAGTGTGATTCAGTTTTGCCCTGGGTATATCCATTTGAGAATGCCATATAGTCTTAAAATCTTAAAAAGATCAAGAGCCAAGAGAAAACAAACTTGAAATTAGTAATGTTTGTCATCTACTATGAAAATCAACAGTGTACCTCAATGTGTTAGATTTCATGCTTCAGTTTTATGCTTAAATTATAATTTAATTATTCAAAAGTACTAAGATTCTTCAATTCTGTGGCCAAGTTCCCAAGCAATTTCAAGGATTATTTAAACAAATCAAGCTCCTGAGTTTGAGACTTGCCCATTGGAAAAAAAAAAAAGGCTATTTTCAATTTGAAATCAGTATATGGTATACTTTCCATTCAGGATGCAGTAAAATCTGCCACTACACAATAACTACAGACCTCTGGATAAAGACAAAGAAAGAAAAGGTTTTAATTTGATTAGCCTCCAACTGTATTCATTAAACTCATCTGGGAACTATCCAGCAATAATTCTTCCAAAGAAGGTCATAATTCTTCTTTAATTGTTTCCACCTGGTACAGTACTGTCATCAATCCCCCGTTCTCCACCTTTCTGTACTTGGCTCCCAGCCCATCACTCAAACCCTTTAATTTCATTAAAGGCAGACACTTTAGTTAGTGTAGACACTTTAGATAGTGCAGTCTTCCCTTGCACTATCATTAAGGAGCAAGGGAAAGAGGCTTGGGTTATTTTTTTTTGTGACAGATCACAGAATCTCCAGCTTGGTTTCCTCCTTTGCTGGATGATTTCTCTGTGTTCAGTCCCTATTTCACCTCTTAACAACGAATTCCTGCCCTTTTTCTGCTGTATTGAGACACACTGAGCTTTTCCTTCTAACCTGTCTCACACCCCAGGATTCTACAAAGTTGACTTTTCTAACTCTTTCTCTTTTCTGCCCCTTTTATAGTCCTCCCTTAAAATCATCCCCTGATACTCCTTCAAAAAATCCCAAACAGTTAATAAAAATCATTTAGCAGACAAAAATCTTCACTAGCAAATTAATTTATGAAGAAAACACTTAAGGATCACTAATTCAGGCATTCAAAGACACTCATTCTCATTTGCCTATACTCAGGCAAATTCCACTGCTTAGCACCCTAACCCAAGGCATGCCTTATTATGTTCCTAGGCATCCTGAGGAGAAAAGGGAAACTGCAGGACCCTAAAGAAATTAACCTCAACAAAGGTGACCTCTTACTTCCCTTCCTAGCACATTGATTTTATGTTTGCAGTGACTTCATTTGGGGAGTCAGACTGTATACATGAAATCCAGAAGCGTTCTGTTACTGCTCATTTTTCTCTGAGAGACTTTTATCATATTTCCTCATTGGAATCATCATGAAAGGAATTTTGATTCTGGAACATAAACGCAGTCAGCACACTAGCAAGTATACACACTTTATAGTAAATATGTGGTGTTAGGCAGTAAGCGGTAAACATTTTTGAAGAAAACTTAATTTGTTTTCAATCAGATGAGATAAAAGTGATTATTAATGGAGGTGAATATATTTATCCAGGAACACAGCTTGCCTAGACAGGAAATTTTGTATTAGTGGAACAGAATTTCTCAGTTTATTGATTTATGTCTAAACTAAATGAGAATATGTTCTATTGCTCTTGAGGTGGATGACATGAGATTGAAGTAGGTATTTTAATATCCTGTTTAATGTCAAGTTACAAAATTAGGTTCTTCCTCAACCTTTGAGTTTTAGTCATAAAAGACTGATGGTTCAGGACCTCCCAGTGTTTCACCATATACCATCTATTTAAATGGAATGGGCTGACAACCCTAGGCTGTTAAAATCCTTAGCTGTTTATGGGAAAAATATTTCCTGTCCATTGGATTGTGAAGTTAGCTCAATAATTTTGAATTAATAAATGTAAAGCTATTTGTACATGTTTTTTAGATATGCTAAAGAAAGTGAAAGCCTGGGTAGCATTGCTAATAAGGTTTATCTGGTAAAATGGATTATATAAAAAGAAAACACATACGGGAGAAAAGAGTCCTATCAGAAAAGACAACAAAATTGAACAAGGAGCTTCATGTTTTGGGACAAATACATTGTTTTTCTCTTGCACTTACACTATTGCTGAAGAGACAATGCTTATCTAGTCACATGAAAAGCCCTTCTTCTCTACCTATAATACTGAAGATTAAAAGGATTCTATCACACATTTACAAAACAAAGATCTCACACTTCCTATTGCTTAAGCAAATGTGACACGCTATTACTTAAAAAAAAAAAAAGACAGATTATCTTCTTGCTTTTTTCTGAATCTTTTGCACAAGATTACCTGACAGGAAATTGGTTTAAGAGACTGAGCAATAATGACTCTGTAATTTTTTCTCCAACATTCATTGCCTTCTGGAAACCATACTGCAGATCATCCTCCTAAAGATACCTTTGATGTCCATGAGCCTCAGCAAAGTGCTTCTATTAAAAGACTGCCTTTCAGTCCAATTTGTTTATTTCAGTTTGTTGTATATACACCCCATTATCAGCTCAGAGCAAGAAGATGAATGGACATAAATAATGGCACATTTGCAGTAAGAATTTTGTGGCAAAGACCTTTAGTAAGGTATTTGGTTTCAATGCAACCACAACACAATGACAAACTTTATAAATGACAGACCTAATCATAAAGTTAAAATTATAGTTCCATGAAAAAAGCCAAGTACTGAATTAACAGTATCTACTGTATGATGGCATGTGGCTGTATTTCTAACAAAACCATCCCTATTATTCATGAATTGATTTACACTTTTTATCTTTCCATAACATGCAGTATTTATTTACCCTTACATTTTGAGGCATTACAGTTTCTGCTGACAGGGGTATTTTCTTAAAATAGAACATTACAGCCGTCCCCTGCTAGATGTTTAAGCCATGTGTATGTTTGTTTTAAATTTTTTTTCTTGAACTTTCTAACCGTGAGCAGGCTGGGAATGTAGAGTCATGAAAAATGAGAGTTTGCTTTATAAAAAAAAAAAAGAGAAATGTAGACATTTGATGTAGCACTGAAAAATTCACAGCCTCCTACCTTAAAAACAAACATTTCCCGGCGAAGAATAGCCAGAGTGTTGAAGTTCCCATCACAGATGTTCGGCTTGGCTCCGGGGTAGGAAGGTTTGTCACCAGTGGGTGGCCGGGGAGGTTTTGGTTGCCTGTCATTCTTCCGTGGGTCTGCTGGAGGGACTGAACGATGTGGGGGCACTGTTGGCAGAGGTCTGGTTGGTGGTGGTATCCTGTCAGGTGGACCTTTAAAAATACAGCAGCTGGATGTAATATACAAGCCCACTAAAGGAAACATACACAACAAAGCCAGCTGTAAGCTGTACAAACCCAACAGTGAAAGCGGCATGAAAACGTGACCTGACATACCTTTCTGATGTTATTAAATCACTGAATCATAGAATCACAGAATATGCTGAGTTGGAAGGGACCCACCAGAATGACTGAGTCCAGCTCTTGGCCCTGCCCAGGACACCCCAAGAGTCACACTGTGTGCCTGAGAGCATTGTCCATTGAACTCAGTCAGGCTGGTGCTGTGACCACTTCCCTGGGGAGCCTGTTCCAGTTACCAACCAGGCAGTGCTTATAAAGGGTACTAAGAATGACTACAAAACCAAGGAAAATAATTAATTTTCATTATCTAAAATCTTCCTTTTTGGAAAAACATTCTAATAAAACCTTCTAAGGATGCTTAGGCCGCCATCATTTCAGACGAGAAATAGTTCAAAGCAAATTATTGACCAATTGAGTTCTGATAACAGGACATTTTCTCTTGTACAAAAAAAATGAAAAAAGATCTTGTTCCTTATAAGATCATCATCAGTCAATAGATTTTCAATGTATATTTTTAATATATAGTCATCAATTCACACATGCACATATGTAGCATACCTGCTACTTACTACTGACCAAATTTTTAGATCAAGTAATGTCATATTTATTAGAGACAGGACAATCCCAGCTTTTTCCAATGTCCTTTGGTATGTACAGCAGCTCCTAAAACTGGACCTCAAGTTCTGGGCATGTATACAACACACACACCCCATCATCCCCCTGCCATGGTTGACATATTTTCTTCAAGTGAAAAACTAAAACTCTGTTAAGCAGTCTTAAAACATTTTTCTTCTTCCAAATATCTTATTTGAGTTTTATGAAATTACTGTCCAACTCATAGTTTCTCTACCTGCAAGTCATCAGGTTATCCCAGACAGATACTGATCATACCCTAAATGGCATACTGAATGACTTGAAATGAGTGTACTGAAAATGCCTGCCCCTCTCTACACATATCAGCAACATTTATTTTTCATGGACAAAGAGATAAGAAGCTTCACTTATAACTTCATGTCTGGAAACAAGATGAATGTTTTAATTTTTGCTCACTCTATTTAGGCCTCTCTCCAAATAATTTAAATAGATAATACACTTTGACCTTAAAAAGAAATGCTGTTTCTTTTGACCACTTTCAGAAACACTTTTGAATAGTAAGATAACTCTAAAACTGCACAAATGACATTTGAATTTCTGAGAATTTTATGAAAAACCACATACTTTATAAGAAAAAAAAAGATGGATTATGTACGGAAATCTTAAACTTGCCAAATGGTTGTCATATGATTTAATAAGACATTTATTTCATTCACAATTTTAAGACTTGTGACATTTATAATTTAAAGTTAATAACAGTATTTCAAGGAATACTGCAGACTAAAGTGATTATTTTAATAGGTGTGACATTTTTATTGAGACATATGATTCCAGATCACATCTTGATTTTAAAGGGAGCAAAGGATTCAGTTTGCAGTAGCTCATGTTGGAAAGTTTTTAACCCCAAATCAAAGTTTTTTTATGCCATTTGGTGGTGATGTCAGATATTACTTCCCAGGGGTAACACATTTTTCCTAATGTATAGCCCACAGCTGTTTGAGCTTAGCAGCTACTTTTCAGCAAAATATTCTTGTCTAGCCCTTAAGTCTAGACTACCAACTTATGAGGTCATGAGAAACAACCTTCCCTCCAGCTAATCACACAGGAAAAAAACCCAACCAAACAAAACCTGATCAGCCAGTCATTCTGAAATTGCTATTTATGCTTCACAAAAATATCTATCTGAGCTTGTGAATATGATATTTTAAAATTCTTGTTACTATTACACTATGGAGTTTGCAGATTTCTAGTTAGCAGTACAGTAATTCTAAATGATCATAGCTGTTCTTTCTAGTAGGATGGATAAAGAAGGAATGGCCCTCACAATATTCAACATAAATACAACAAACTATACAGGAAAAACTGGAAGTACAGAATTTAATCCAGTGCAGATTTAATTACAGAATATTGAGCAAGGCAATATCAAATTATATGCACTGGATAAAGAACATTAACATGGAGATACAAGAGAATTTTCAATTCTGAAAGTCAAATAAATCTTTAAAGAAAAAAAACCAACTTAAACTATTTAATATATACCAACAGAATCAAAGTCATTAAAACCAAAACTAGAGCTATGTCTTTGGAAGTTTAAGGGATAGTAATATGGGAGATAGTATTACATTCAACACAATCACAATTACGCTATTGTTAGTAATTTGAAAAAATTCCATTGTCTTGTTAAATGCAGAATTTATTTGCATCACAGGTATTTTATATCAGGCCATAAAAATTGAAATGAGCATATTTTAAAGAACTAGTCCCTTCTTTACCCTCTGTAGGGACTGTAACACTATTTTGAGATCAATTTGTTATATATATCATAAGAAAGGGTATTTACAGGACCTCAGATTTTGAGAGAATTTTTCTGTATTATAACTGATAAAATGAGAGGCAATCAAGTCATCCAGTTACATGAGCTTGGACACCTGTGTAAATAATCTCATTATAGTTAAGCACTTGCATTTCTTAATATTTTCATAGTTTGGAATAATTTCGATTGAATTTTCTTTATGGATTTTTAAGACATTTAAAATTACTGTTCCAGATGAGTGCAGATTTGAATATAAGTTTTGAACAGTAAGAAAAAGAGTAAGAGTGTCCTCAAAATCTTTGGATGCTTTATTCACACAGAGACTCTGGCATAACAACTGGTGAAGTCTACACCAATGAGCCCTTTGGAGAGGGGATATGGCCAGGAGAACCTCAAAGTTACTCTAAACCAAAAAGCCTGTGTTGTCTGATGAGAACACAACATACCATATATCTTCTGGATGCCCTGTAAATCGTCATTAGGTAGTTTGAAGTTGTCAGTTTCCATATATTGGTAAAATGGAGCCATGATTGCAGTGGGATCATTAGAGTGTTCCAAGCCTAGAGCATGTCCGAGTTCATGAACTGCAACTAGAAAGAGATCGTTTCCTGTGAAGAGAAGGAAAGGAAAAAGACCTTTGAATCCACAAAGGTAGTAAAAAAATAACACACATGGAGAACTCTGGTCTTGCAAGATGTTTTCACTGCATTCCACAAGGTAATGTGTAGTAATTAATGGATCATCAAGGATAATGTGGCAGAAAAGGCAGTTTTCTCTCTTTTTTTTTTTTTCTAACAAGGAAACCATTAGGCTATAATGGTACTCTTACAGACATCATAAACATAAACCTTTTTTAATTGATATACATGGTAATTGTAGGGTTCAAGTGTCATAGTTTATGTCTAGGCTTTCGTGCAACTTGTGACTTGATGCTGCCATGAACCCAAGTAAAAATGCTTTCATCAAGACATAGTTCCAATAGAAAAATATCCTGGCTTTGTTTGGTAAACTTCACAAACTGAAGACTACCTATTTAGGATAAATCCCACAGAGAACTTAGTCATTCAAACACTTGTAATCAGATCCCTGCTGACTATATGTAAATGTTGTCCATTTCTGAATCACTGTGACTGAAATCCTAATGAGGAAAATAGATGTCCTCATATATTCCCCTGTGCAATTCCTTGTAATAACTGTAGTTTTCTATTTAGGTTTTAGAGCTTTTTTAATTTTTATAGGACTAAAGAAAAACCCCAAAGCCATGCACTCACTGCAAAATATAGACCAGTTTAATGCTTTTGTTATTCTCTTCTCAAAGTATCTTTAAATTTTTTATTACAGAGTATTAGATAAAACTGGAACATTTGGCAGTAGAATATGGCACTCTTCTGAAGCAAACACAAATGAAATCCAATGGGATCTTTTCTAAAAAAAAAAGTTTCAGAGCTGGACCTCTATGGTATTATTTCTGTCTTTTTTTGCTCATCTAAGATTTTGTTCTGCATATCTTTCTATGAGTCTTTCATACAGATTCTGTTGTACTTAACCTGTCACAAAATGAGACTGGAAAAGTGGTTCAGATCAGGAGGAAGATTCCAGCTGTCTGAAAAGGGTCACATCCAGAATATGGCTCATTTCACCACGTAGAGATGGGAAGAACCATCCTCCAGAAGTGTGATCCTGTACCACTGACAAGAGAAGTACTCTAGATCAGCAGGTTATGCTGACCATTTAATTTTTAAATGCTGAACTCATGTGAAACTGGTGTTACCTATAGTAAGTAGCTTGTTGTTGAAAGTATAAATAATGAAAGCCTTGTGCTCTGGCCTAATAGTCATATATTGGTTAGGAATATGAAAAAAATGCTCCACCTTAACTCTTATCCTATAAGCTTTAGATTCTTTAGGGATAGACAGTTATTTTTCATTTCTGGAACTTGATCTGGAAGTACTTTTAAAATGTCAGTGGTAATAATATTAAGTTGTATCAGCAACAAAATTGCATGTATATACATTATAGAACTTTGAGGACATAGTTGACAATATTTCAATTTCTCAAGCATTTCCTCTTGTTGACACAATAAAATAAACTTTATCCAAAGCATATATGGAATAGGAAACACTAGATGCCTTCATGATGTATGAAGCCATGCTGATGTCTGTAAAATAAATTTTTGAATGAAATAATGAAAACAGACACAAGTAAAACTATATGCTCAGTTCACAGTCTTCTCATAACTTCTGATTCTTAATTTGAAAATATGACAACTAAATGTTCTTGATCTTCCATTCAAAATAACTGTGCAAAAAAATCACATCTTTCAAAAATTAATGTGACATAATGTGCTTTTACAAATGAGAAGTTTATCCTATCATTTATAATTATGTGTTCTCCAGATGAAATGTTTTATGACAATATTTTTCTTGGATGCAGCTCTTCTTACAGCAAAGCAGAATCTCAATGTGCTGTTTCAATAGTTTTGATAAGCCTGACTGTCCTGGTGACAAATGCTCTTGATATCTGAGTCTGGCCTTCCATATGCAGACAAAGCTGATCTTGACATCATCTCATATGAATAATACACAGCTTCTGGAGCTAACATCAGCATAGGAAGTGATGCACAGAAGGAACTTTGTAAAGGTTTTCATTCTGCACTTATAATGGAATAATTAATGTAATTTTAAATAATCATAGGTTGAAGATGGAAAGACAGAAAAGAAGAGAATGTTACTGAACTACAGCTTTCATACTATAACGAAAAGTCTCACATTATTTTTCAATTCTATTCTGAGTTGTGTGAAAGTTCTAAACGAGGCTTATTAGGAGGCAAAATTTCTTTCCTTGGTATTAACTTGAATATTTAAGAAGCAATATTCTTTTTTTTCAAACCTTCTGAAAGCAAATTTCTTTCCTGTACCTATGCTTTCTACATCATAACTAAGAATATTAACTAAGTCCTATATTAAAAATGCACTGACACATTGGCCACATTTTATTTACTGTATTATTCTCAAGTTGCTTTGAAATAAGAGTATTTATTGTACTAGTACCATTAGGCTTGTTACTGTCAGTGCATGAAACAGTTTTTTACATGTTATACCTCTACTTTTTGAGGGAGGAAGTCTGGGAAGTTACCTAGTTTAATTTCTAAAATTTCAAGAAACTGCAGTTAATCAACAGTCTTGGAAAAGACCACAATTTCTATTTGTGCCAGTTATGGAATACATGAAGAATCAATACATCCTTTGATTCTCAGTCCTTATTGAGTCCCCTTACAGATTTCCAGCAATTTTGCTCCATGTTGATCTGAAAGATGTGAAATACATAGTAAATGGGAAATAAATAAAACTGACTTTCAGCTACTGACATATCCTTTTTCCAGAATGACAGATAATGACCATATGGTAGAGCAGTTCTACAGTAGTGCTAAGGGACAGTAGGACCATGTCAGACAACAGATATCATGCAGAGGCCGCCTGTTTCTCTTTTCATCTTTTGGATCAGGGAGATTATGTAAAAAGAAAAAGAAAAAAAACCAAAAAACAAAAGTGAAACAAAAAAACCAAACAAAAAAGAAAGAAAAAAGGAAAAAAAAAACAACAAAAAAACCCCCAAAGAAACCAACCAAAAACCAAGGAACCAAAAACCCCCAAACATTCCATTCAGTATCTGACTGTCCCTCAGGATTTAGTAATTTCCACCTCATGCAATACAACTTATAGCCATCAGGGGAGCCATTAAGTGTGGCAAAGGCAGAACAGCCCTTGAGCAAATTAACAAGGGGGAAGGGAGAAGGTCAGAGGAAAGAGCTGGGAGAATAATATTCTTGCCTGGGGTGACAATGATTTAACAGGGAACATATTTTCTACTCGTAGCCAAATAGCCCCATTATTCATAACAATTTCCATCAAGAGTCATGATTGTCTCCAGGGCATCCTGAATTTGAACTGACCCAAATAACTTAGTGCAATTGAAACTCAGGTTTAAACCAGCCCAAGATGAGCTGAGTCCAGTACAGGTAGGGCCTTATTACTATCTGAGTTTCCATCCTTTCTGCTTTGCATACGATTAGATTTCTCTAATTAGGCAACAATTATTCAGTGCCTCTTAGCTTTAGGGATCAGACTTGCCCTGAGTACCTCAAAGTTAGTGTAAAAAGCTCCCGAGAGTGCAGAAGGACAACCTTCTGTAAGACTTGCTCTTTTTCTCAAGGCTGCACAGAAGCGTACTTGAGACAGCAAGGTCAATGGTAGCCCACCTTCAATTCCTTGGTCAGTGCTCAGAATAAGCTGCAGTGTACAAACAAGTGAGCATTCATATTCAGGCTAGCTTTGCTATCCTATCCATACTGGGGAGTTTTTACTTTTCAGTTGCCACTGTTGAAGGAATGAGTCCCAAATCATTTTGTATTTCAGTATACTTTATCCAAGTAGGACATATTTCAGTCCACATGGCAAAATGAAGCACCATCACAAACTTGAACAAGTCATAGCAGAGTTAAAATGCATATGGCTACAATGATTTTTAAAGCAAATGTTGCCACTGAAGATATACAGTGGTAAGTATTCACTGTCACAGTCTCAGGTGCATCTTGTATACCCACAGAGTAGTAGGAAAATATTGGAAACTATATTGCACAAGTCCAAAACTTGTGTGTCTCTATTCTTGTGTTCCCATTAGCACGGAGATTTGGAATAGAATGGCTGTAAACTCAAAAAGTTTGTGATTGTTTTTTTTTATTTTATCTCAAGTCTGATTTCACAAGTGAAGAAAAAAAAGATACCGTGTGTAAAGAGCTAATGTAAAATTATTATTTTTATACTGACACTTTTCTCTGAGGCTATAAACTATTTTAGGCACTAAATCTGCCTGACTTTACAAACACTGCCCAAACTCCAGAATATAAATATGTATTAATATATCAAATATTCAACAACCAGCAGTGTGGATCATGTTGTATAGGGAAGCCTTTCCCTGTAGCTAATATATACACTATTTTTTACATCTACTATGTGAAAAGCTAATATGTTTGTCCACAGTAAGCTAGTAAGAAAACCTAGTTCTGAAGATAATAATTTCCATTTTAAATGGTATGTGAGTTCAATTTATAAAAGCAATAACTTAGTGGCTTAACATGTGACCTCAATTTTGAAGACTTCTCCATCCCAAGGAAAAGAAAAAGAAACCCTAGAAACTGAATTTCAAGTTACAAACAATTGTAAAAATACAAAGATGCTTTATACATAGACATACACTTTTTCTTCCAAAGACTATTTTATTTCAGTTTTCATGATGTAGATAGATGTTTTCTAATTAAAGTCACATCAAACTGAAATTTAAATCTGCACAAGACTTCTATTATAGTCCTATTACAACAAGACAGTGTCTCAAAGGCAAACTTACAATTTCTTAGAAATATTACACACACACAAAATAGCTATTGCTTTTGGTTTGATATATGCAGAATTTTCATTTTCATTATTCTGTTCCTTTGTACCACCTGATGCATCCAAACAGCTGAAATGCTACAAATTGTAGAGTAGGAGCCTTACTCTACATAGCATATCAAAAAAAACCTAAAAAAAAAAACAAACAAACAAACAAAAAA